AGGACGCAGCCCATTGCACTGATGTTCCAGTTCATTGTAGAAGAGGTATGATGCGTAAGTGGTGTAACAAGTGAGCGTTAGTTAGAACTAAGCTCCAGTGAAATGCTGCAGTTTCATATTCAATTCCCATTAACTCCCAACTACTTTTATCGTTGTTATCAGTACTGGCATGAACGCCAAAGAGCGGGTATCTGATGTGTCACTTATTGTGAGGTGCTGCCATGATTTTTCCACCTCTTTTATTTGGAACCCATGATAGTCTTCCTCTTTGGCTGGAAGACCTCACCTTGAACATCAAGTGCAGCCATCACTTTAGTGCCTTCAGCTTCACAAGAATAGATGCCAGTGTCTTCTGGTACCGTAGATTTAATTTTTAGCATGCTTACATTCCAGTCCTGATCGATAATCACTCGCTGCCCATCTGCATGTATTTCCTGATCATTTTTCTTCCATATGGCGTGTACTGGCCTAGAATATTGGCATATGAACTCTGCTGTGCCATCTTCATCAACAGTTATATCCTGCATGGGACTGACCACTTCAATGGTTGGATCTGTTAACCAACACGTCAGGAAGGACATGCATTAGTGGATCCTCATGGAAATCACAATTTAGAGAGTTTTGACAAGCACAGAGCCTGTGGGGAGCAAGCAGAGTGACAGTGCAAGCAGGAAGCTGACTGGGCACACTGGGGATTAGCAGTTTAGTCTGTGCTTGTGTCAGCATCAAGCAGGATTGAAGCAAAACTGGTACATTAGAATATAACTATCACGCCAGAAAATGGGCCACCAGCAATTAAAGCTTGTGCTTTAACAGCCCTGAACATGAACATCTGTGCAGAACATCTGCTGGGATTCCCTCCAGGCTTAGTTTTTCTCCCAGCGTTGCTGAAATCCTGTAGACTAGGAAGCGCTGGATGCGAAACACTTCTGCTTCCCAGAATGTGGCAGGAGCGCAAATGTGAGAGAGGGGACTGCAATGGATGGGTTGCTGTAAGTGGTTCCCTGGAACTCTCAATCCCACATAGCAATAGGAATATGCCACAGACTCTACTGGAGGCTCCTTGTATGAGCAAACTGCAACACTCATTAGAAAGAAATGTAATATTCAAATGCAAACACTTATTCCTGTCCTGTGGTGGTGATGGCTATGTGTCAGGAGTCATTGGCAGCACGAGGAGCAAAGATTCAGGACAATTGTAACAAAAAAATGGCACTTCACAGGAGACAGGTACTTATTGTTTTGATTAACCATGTGTTTCTCTGCAGCAGAGACGTAGTTTGGGGAAAAATAATATGATTTCCTTACAGATCTAGAGATGCAGCACGAACTATTGCAATCTCAGATTGAGAGCCCATAAAATGCTAGAGCAGCTGGATATGCAGCTCCTTTGAAGAAGGCGAGATCCATGAGGCTGCTTTTAAGCATCCAGTCTGTCTTTTAAAATACTAGTTCTGCTTCTTGGGAGGCAGCTGTAGGGCACAGTAGATATATCCAACCTCAAAATATTGTGAGCTTCCAAAGCAGTCAAGGAGTCCCTCCTGACATGTCAAATTGGACCACCTGCATACAGCCACAATATATATGCTAAAAAGAAAAATCTCAATGAAGTCTGAAAATGGAAGTCTCTCTGCAACATCCTTCTCAGCAGAACTATATCATCTTCCCCAAAAAATTGCTAGGGCTACAATGGGACGTAAAAAGATGACAGTCAGAGAAAGCTGATATATGTCCTTATCTTTCAAATAGTTGTTCTGGTCACAAGCCAGCTAGAATAAACTACACTGGACCTCTGACTAGTATGCTCCTCTTGAAACTGGTACATCAGGTTGAGGATTTGAGATGCTACTAGCAGACCATGGGAAGCAAAGATAGTTTTGCAAATGACTTTTGGAAACTTGTTGCAAGGCTTGATCCTGCTCTCTAAGGCTCCCTCTACCACTCTGTGTGTCTGCATGTGTGTTTATGGAGAGGAGGCATCAACGGCAGATCATGGAGATGTCTTGGGTACATCAGGACTGAAGAAGCAAGAAGGTATCTGTGCAGCTGGGAAGTACAATACCGTCTCCTTTCATAAGATGCAGACATGTGCTCCGCACAGCAAATGTCACCTGTGGTCTTGGAGAAGGAAGGTGTCCTGGTTCCACTGCCCCATTGGTCTTTGCCACTGCTACGCTAAGACCTTGGTGACCCATGCGGAACGGCAGAAAGCTCCTTGGGACTTAGGAGCTAACGTGTACACTGGGGCCTGTAATCCTCACCCTGCCCAGAGGGGTCAGAAGAAGGTGGCAGCTCCTTCAAACTTTTCCATTTCCCCCCCACCCATATGTGAAGACGCTGTCATGCTCGGCCACTGAATGAATGCAGTTGTAGGGCAATGACATTGCGAAGGCCCAACAAGAAAACCTGTCATGAGATTCCACATATTATAGAATATATCCAGTTACAAGCATACCTTACACCATGAGAATGGGGCACATGGAACAGAGAGAAAGACAACTTGTTCCTTGATGAAGAGCAAGCCACGGATAGCTAGATTGACTGAAATATATCTAGTTTAAAGACAGATCTATTTTTAAATTTATGGACTAAATAAGGTGCATGAAATTGGCTGTTAATACAAGCACAGTCAATTTTACTAGTATTTTACTTTCCTATTAAATAAAGTGTTATTGAGCACAGTGTAACTGGGGTGTTTTTAAATACCTTTCTCATCCTATTCCAATTATAGTCATGTGTCATCCTAATCCAATTATAGTCACATACACTACTGTGATTCAGCTTCACATTAAAGAAATCTTGCCTTAATAGAAGCACAAAATATCCACATACATATGTGTACTAGCATGAGCTGTGGGGTTGGACTAGATGATCTCCAGAAGTTCCTTCCAACATCAACGATGCTGTGACTCTCTGAAATGAAAACTTCTCAGGAGCCCTTTATTTGATTGAGTCGAATACCTAACAATGCATTTATTTTTCATTTATATTTTAGGCCCACTGGAGTTCTTTGGCTAGAGAGCTCAGAACCAGGTTCTGTCTCTGAAAATGTGAAACTCAAAATTGATAGAAATGGACGTGGGATTTGTGGGGTTTGCACACTGTGCTGTTGCTGCATCATTCTGATATTAGGAAGAAGTGATTTGGCATTTTGTCTTTGCAGAGAGTTAAATTTTCTGAATGTACGAGGGACACATTATACAGAGAAGGAGACTTCAACCACTGACTACAATTCTATATTGTGGCTCATTCCTATTATAGTAGACAGTTATAGCATGGGGTAGATTTTAATAAAGAACTCTTAACCCTTTATATCTCCATATATACAAATCCCTTTTCTAAGCAAGGAATAAGTGTTACTTTTGCCTGAAAAACAACAACTTTTCCCAATAGCTATAAAAGGACTGGATGTGAAGGAGCTTGCTTTATCAAGTCTGGAGCTCAGTGTTATTTGCGGCTTGTGGCTACCCTTACCAAATGAGAAAAATATTTCTTCAACAGACCAGAAAGCTTTGCTAGTGCAGTGATGACCATTACTATTCTGGCAATCAACAAATGAGGCTCATTTTGTCGCTGTGTTACTGCAATGTCATATACCCTTTGGTTTCTAGGAAGATCTCTGGAGCCATCAATATAACAGCCCAAAGTCTTGTCTTGGGAACATACTGAGCTCAGCACCAGTAGCCCAGCTATGGAGCAGCACAGTGGTAATTTTGTGAATTTCAAGCTACATAATATTTTGTGGTATTAAAAAAACAGTTGAAGGGGGGACAAAAAAACCCCATGTGCTACCACAGTGGTTTATGTTCAGCTCTACTTAGATGTCACGTGAAAGCAGCAGCCCTGAACCTGCAACCCTTCCTCACCTGAACCACTGAAAAAAATCGATGTGGTTGTACCTATAAGACTTCTGGTGTAAGCATGGGTGACTTACAGAAGTGGAGGGTTGCAGGACACAGAAGAACTGTGAATTGATTTAGTAAGGGTAGCCTGGAAGGCAGAAGCACTAGCACACTGAGCAAGTCCAGAGGTGGCCATCTGTTTCTTTCTAACAACAAAATACCTTTGACTAATAATTTAGCTGAAGATATAAGGGACCCAGCTCTGAAGGTGACAGTGCCTGAGTCATGGCACGCCACGTCATTTAGGGTTAAAGTGTGGATAATCCCGTCCTTCTCGGAGATTTCAGTCACAAAGTTGTTGTGAAGGGGAGATCCATCGAGCCACCACTGCACGTTCTTCACGCCCGGGTGCGAGAGCTCGCAGGTGAACGTGGCTGACTCACCCACAAAGACGTCTGTGTTCTTTAAACCAGAAACTATGACTGCTGCTTCTTCTGTATAACAGAGCAAGAGAAGGTGCCAAAGGAAAACAAAAGCATAAACATATACGTGTCGCTTCCTGCAGAACTAGCCCAAGCAACAGTGCAAGTTGTCCAGGAGAGTTAAACTTGTAATGCTGTTCCAGGGAAAAAAGAGCTAAAATTTTCTTTAAGGGATTTAGAAACCACCTTCCGTCCTTCACCTGCTTGCAAGTGCAGTGTGTGTGTCTGCAAATGCTGTTTCATTGGGAGGAAACTCTGCTCCACGACCAGGTCATGACTGGCTCTCCTGTGCGTTGCAACCATCTGCACTGGCATTGTATGAGGTGGGAGGCAGAGAGGTAGCTTAAGATTTAAATGTTCACTTACAGTGCTTTAAAAGAGTAATAAGAATAGCAACAATAATAGAAGCTGTAATCAGTAATAACAAGAATTTCAGTATTTTTTACAACCACTGCTCCAAGCAAATAGTTTTTCAGCAGTACCACCATCTGCTACAATACACCGTACGGTCAGTACTTTGACCTACCTTAACTTACAAACATTAGTCCAACCTCAGCCTGGATGTCAGTGTTTACATCTTCAGTGAAGTCAGGAAAGAAATGAATGGACTTTCAATTGTTTGCATCTGAGACAAGTTTGGCCAGTTATGGTCAAAGATTTTTGAATAAGAAATCCAGGCAGCAAAATCCCACATTTCACCTTACCTTGCACATACACAGAACCTGTGGTGATCTCGTATCCAGTGCTACAGGTATAATCCCCACAATCATCAGGCTCTACACCAGGGATGATCAGCTCAGCAATGCTGCCTTTCAGCTTCATCTCGTACTTGTCACTGGGCTGAATGACCACCCCTCCTTTTCTCCACTCAACAGGGGCATCCGGCTTGGAGATCTCACAGCGCAAGACAGCTGTTCCTCCTTCTTCCGACTCGACATTTTTCAGCTCTTCTTTAAACAGCACAGGTAGTACTGCGGTGGAGAAGCAACTGCATCAGTGACAGTGCTCAGAGCTGAGAAACTTGCTTGCAACTTCTCTGCCTTAGCAGTTCCCATCTTTCTGAACCCACAACTTGCCTGCTGGCAAGGCCAAGCCCAGAGCAGGACTTTGAGTTGTATCATAGACACTCATGGGGATCAGTGGCTGATACTGTGAGGGTGTCCACTGGTGCTCCATAAAGGATTGCCATAGGTCACAGGAGCTCTAAGGGCATACCCACAATTTTCAATGTAAGCAGTTAGAGGCACAACAGTGCCAATTACAGCATTTGGACATTTAATCGCTGAAACCACACACTCTGAACAGGAGCCGGTTTTGAGAACTAAACTCAGGATCTAAAAGCATGATCTTGTTACTCAAATCAAAAGACACAGCACTCAGTATAAAATGAATAAAACTATAAGTTCCAAAAACGTAACCACTAGAAAAAGGCAGAGAGTCACAATTCTTGGGCTGCTCAGACACAAATAGGTATAATGGCTCAATTTAAAATGGGCTTGTTCTAGGTATGGTGAAATACTCCGGTCTCTTATTGTCAGGCAGCAGGCAAGTTTTCTAACTGCTTTTGTACATAACCTTCATTAGCAGCAGCTGCAGTTTTGCTCCCAGCTCTCGTAGTGAGATCAAAACTGCAACTGCAGAAATAGAATTGGGTTTAAAAGGCACTAAATTCCTCTTTGAAGAACAGATTGTGGATCAAACCCTTTTCTGCAGTTGTAATTCACAGATACAGACGTTTAATGATAATTCAGTGATAAAACTTCCTTATCACCCCTATGGAGAGCAGCCACAGGTGCCTTCAAGCAAGGCTTCTCCTACCTTTGACTTGCAATGATGCAGTGGTCTGCTGATCCCCTGTGTCGCACGTATAATCGCCAGCATCCTGAGCCTCAGCATCATAGATGAAGAGCTCGACATGTGTCCCCTCTTGCCGGATCTCATACTTGTCACTTGGCTGCAGCACCGTATCTCCTTTCCTCCACTCTACGGGTGCGGTGGGTTTTGTCAGCTCGCAGTGCAGCATGGCTGTGCCCCCTTCCTCCACCTCCTCATTTTTCAGCCAGTGTTTGAAAAGCACGGGCAGGGCTTGAAAGGGGGAATGGTGCAAAGAGAAAAAATTCATGAACCAAAAATAGAAAATGGAGGAATGTTTTATTTTTAAGGTATTGACAATGCCATTCATGAAGTTCATGCACAAGTCTGGCTGCATTTACCTAAGGAGAGCTGCCGGGGCAGGGATGCCTGGGTCTAAGCCAGTCAGAGGAGGAGGAGGGAGAGGAGTTAACCAGCAGGAAAAATTTCAGTTCTAAAGGAGCTGCATATCTCTCCCCATATCCTAGATTTCTTTTCACAAAGAATTCCCAACTAACTTCAGTAATAAGTTCTGAAGCCCAGATGGTTTTTCATCCCCAAAATAAAACCACGGAACAGGATAAAAGCACTCAAAGAACATACACCTGCAGACCTGAGGCTTCAGATCATGCAGCCAGGGATCAATTACAGAATAATTAAGGCTGAAGGGACCTCTAGAGGTCCTCCACGGATGGAGATTCCTCTGCCACTCTGGGTCCCAGTTCCAGTGTCTGACCACCCGTTCATTGTGAAGGGCTGGGTTTTCTTCCTAATGTGACTTTCTTTTGCTGCAGCTTGCAGTTGTTGACTCTCATCTGTTTACTGAGCACTCCAAGGAAAGTCTGTCTCTTTTCTGTAGACTCCCATTTGGTAGCTGCAGACAGCAATGAGGTCTCCCCTTCCCTCAACCTTCTCTTCCCCAGGCTGAACAAACCCAGCTATGCCTACCTCTTCTTATACTTCACGTTCTACAGCCCCCTGACAAACTTGGTGGCCTCTGCTGCGCTTCCTCCTCTACCTCAATGTCTGTCTTGTACCAGGGAGCTCCAAAAAATTGACATGCACACCTCTCACCACTGCTGAGCAAAGAGGAAATCATACCTTTCACCTCTAGTCTGGCAGTGGTCTTCCCATCAGCTGTGTGGCAGCTATACTCCCCTGAGTCCGCACGGTTCAAATCGTGAATGACCAGCGTGTGCACATTCCCCTCCTGCTTGATGCTGCACTTCTGGCTGGAGCGGATCACGGACGTGCCTTTCTTCCATTCCACTGGCACATCGGCCTTGGACACCTCACAGGACAAGTGAGCTGTGCCACCCTCCTGCAGCTCCAAGCTGTGGAGAGCCTTTACAAAGGTGACCGGAGCAACTGTGGGGAAGAGGGTACCAACACTGCTGCAACCGCCTAATCCAGCATCGCCCCCAGGTCAGAACTGGGTGCCTATAGTTACATTGTGAACCAGATCAAAGAGGAACAAACAAGATAAGCTATTGACATGGCCCATCTTTCAAAATCATTCTGTAGAACTTAACGGAAGTTTTTTTTCAGAGGTTTTGAATGTGTTTTGGAGTAAATATGATCAAAACCATCATAAGTAGGAGATTAATTCAGAGCATATTCTTGACATTCTTCAGCATTGATTCTGACATATCTTAGCTGTTTGTTTCAGGATAAGATGGATGTCTTCCAAGGATGTCTGCTATAAAAAAGGACTGAAACGACTAGCTCAGATGTATATATCTACCTCTTAAATGCCAAATTACCCAAGATTTCCAGAGGCCCTTCCTCCCAAATAAAATTCTCCAGAAGATAAAGCAATATTGACAGTGCTTACCAGTACCTTCTAAATCCCTCTTCCTAGGAGGTTGCTCACCTTGGACCGTTAGCTGTGCTGCTGAGGTGTGCTGCCCAACTTTGAAACTGATGGGCCCACAGTCTTCTAGTGTCACGTTCCTCAGGATCAAAGTGTGACGCGTCCCTTGGACTCTGATCTCATTCATTTCATTGGATTGCAGGGGAACATCCCCCAGGAACCACTGGGCATCCCGAGTTGTTTCTCGGGACAGCCTGCATTCAAACACTGCGTCTTCTCCTTCATACGAAGTGATGTCCTTCAGCGTCTCCACTATGGTTGCTTCTGGTTCTTTATGGAAAGGTCAACAGAGTTTGATATCTACTTTCAAGTGATGCTTCCTGGGTTAAACATTTCATTATGCTCTTTCTTGACAGTACTATATTATTTGAAAGAATGACCACAAAGCACTAAGCACTAAATGCATGGAAATGTAGTTACATGGGCATGTAATAACATATTACTTTCTTACAGATGCATAATGTGTATGTGTGCATATATATTATGCACACGTATATATGGTGGTCTATAAAGTATGCATGTTATACTGTATTGTGCCTATAATAAATATTTAATATATATTTATAATGCAATCTATGTATTGTGAAAACATTGTCAAGAGATTTTAGTGGGTGACATTAATATTAAACCACAACATCATTGACTAAAGACCCATTTCTGATTCCCTAGAGATAGCTGACCCAGTTCCTACCCCTCTGAAATCACTCTCGTCTCTGAGATCCCCATGATTCAATTTGGGCACAGGACAATGTTTAGCTGTCAAATTACTTAATCATGTGCCCCTGCCACAGTACCAAGCTCTTTTCTGCTCTTCCCCATGCAAAGCCCCACCTTTCACAAGCACAGCTGCAGTGGTTTGCTGGTCTCCTGTGTCGCACGTGTATTCCCCAGCATCAGCTTCACTCAGGTTGCGAATCATCAGCTCAGCCACGGGCCCAGCTTGGCGCATCTTGTATTTGTCACTTGGTCGCAGCACTGTCCCGGCCTTCTTCCACTGCACAGTGGCATTTGATTTTGAGATTTCACAGCTCAAAATGATGGTGCCACCTTCTTCGGCTTGCTGGTTCTGGAGTGGTTGTGTGAAGGTTACTGGCAAAGCTAAAACAGACATAAATCAGAGGAAAAAAAAATATCACGTTTCATTGCTGACTGTGTCTCTAAGTCTTGTGTTTAGTGAAACTGTGGTGGCATTCCAAATTTCATTCAAAATCAATTCCAAAATTACTTTAAAACCCAAACAAGGAATGACAGAAAGTGCTGGATTTCCAGGAGCGCTAAGCACTCTGCACTTCCCAAGAGTCACTGGGCACTGCACACACCGAACACTTCTGGGAATATGTTCCTTTACACAGGAGCGGTCACAGATGTGGACTCTAGAGCTTCTAAGTGCACGTATCTCCAAATGGATACCAAAGCTACAACTCAAAAGCCTATGCCTGATATCTGTCTTTTGGGTATTTGGTAGGGTGCATGGAGAAACATCATTATATAATGCCTCTCATTTGAAAACTGGACCCAGAAGAGAGATGAACTCTAGAAGTCTCTGCACTGATGTTTATCACTGATGGGTCAAGATGGAGTTTTGGTGGGTTGATTTACAATGTGCCACATGTAGAAGTTTAGTTCCTCAAGTCCAGTTCCCTAGAACAACCTTGGTGGCTCCACAGTTACAGCTGAATTGGTATTTACAAGGGAAGGAGATGGAGCTCTAGAAATCAGAGTGAATTCACAGGAACTGGGTGGCAGATGTCTATAAAAGGAAAGAGATCTGAAGGTGCTTGCAGATGATGCAGGAATGGATGGTGTATTGTGTGGGACAGCTGGGCAATGGCTGGGGTCAAGGCTTTTGTACAGTTGCATTTGCAGTGAAGGCATCCCATTGTGCAGCTAAGTCCTGCAGCCCCAGGGCTCTTAGGAGCCAGCAAAGGAATAAGTAGGAGAGAGGAATAATGTCTTTGTGAAGACCTAGTCTGTCAGACTGCATCACTGTTGATTCAGAAATCCTCATCACAAAAAAGGACCAGACTCACTGCCACAGTGTCCCTGAATCTTACCTATGGAACACGTAAACTAACCTAGAGCTCTCTAAAAGGTGAAGTGAAAGCTTTATGTCACATTTCACTACCAAGGATGCCATAGTTTGCTCATCGCCAGAATCACAGATGTAGTCTCCAGCATCCTTCAGCTGCAGATCGTGGATGAGTAGCTCCACAGCAGACCCCATCTGCTTCATCTCATACTTGTTGCTGGCTTGGAGCAAGACTGACCCTTTTTTCCATCTCACTGGTGCATTGTGTTTGGAGAGCTCAGCATGAAGGGTGACCGTAGAGCCTTCCTTGGCTTCCTGGTTGTTGAGTTTTTTTTCAAAGAGGGCTGGAGTGGCTGGGACCACACATAGAGACACAAATGGACAGCCACAATCAGAGGATCTGCTTATGGTACAAATATTCTGGTATCATTGGATCCTGAAGTTAGTGTGATAGCAGGCAGGTGCACGCCCTTCATGGGAGAGGCCTCAAGGGATATTTCAAAAGACGGCATTTCCACAAGAACCTTCTGGCTCCTCTTTGTTTTACCTGATCTTGTATCTCAGAAAAAGTCACATTAATATTGTATTTGTACCAGTACCAGAGTGGATTTTAAAAAATGGACATATTGGCACATTGCACCTATTTTTAAGACCCTAGGCACTAGAAGTATTTAGGTACCTTGCTCTTCAGCTGAAGTTTAGTGCCCAGGTGGGTTTGGGCACTTTGACCCTTGAGCACCATTTGCCAGGTGGGACTACAGCTCAAAGGACTGACGTGGTTAAGGATCAAAATGGTCTCATTTTAATTTTAGTTCCAGCCTTGTTTTTCTGAATGACCAGAAAGAGGCCCTTGGGTCTAGGATCAAGCAGTTACTGCGCTTGGGTCCCTCCGTGTTCATTGCTCAAGACACCACAGGACTTCACATAACTTCTGAAAGCAAAAAGACTCAGCTGCTTTATGCCAGCAAAGTACATCTACTGTCCTTGACTTCAGATAACACCCTCCTGCTAGTACTAAGCTAAGGAATTAGAACAAATTTCTCATCTTAAAAAAAAAAAAAAACAAAAAAAAAACAAACAACAAAACAACCTACCTTTAACAGTTAAAGTGGCTGTCGTTTTTTCATTTCCATTATCGCAGGTGTATTTGCCAGAGTCTTCTGGTTTTAAATTATATATCTTTAAGGTATGGATTGTTCCCTCTTGCCTGATTTCATACTTGGAGCTCGGGGAAATCACTTGGGTGCCCTTCTTCCACTCCACTGCAACCTTAGGCTGGGAGATCTCGCAGCGGAGGATGGCTGTTTCTTCTTCCTGCAGTTCTGTGCTCTGTAATTTCTCCTTAAAGACTGGAGGTGGCACTGAAATTACAAACACAGAAAAATCATTCACAGTCAACTTTATCTTGTTTCCCTGCAGTGTTAAAGCTACAGCTGAACAGTTAAGTATTAAAAAATACTTTAGCTTCTGTGTTATATATTGGGGGGTTAAAACAAGTGAATGGATTATGAAACCCACTCACAAATATTTGTTGAAGTTACTGAAATGCTAATCAAAAAACTTTACAGATGTTTTAACTGGCTCAGATGGGATGGGGACTTTGACCGGACCAACAGTTTCAGAGAGGGAAGGAGAAGGATGTTTGAGAATTTCTTCAAAATGGTGTTTAAAGAAAGAAAGACTTCAAAGAAGAAAAAGAAAAAGAAAAAGGAGAGTGACAACAATGAAAATTAGGTCTGTCGATTCATGTACTGGAACTACCCCAGTAATTTCCCTAGAAACCAGTTAGCTTCAGGACGCTGGTGATATTTCCACTTTCTATCCATAGTGATAACAGTGTATGAGACCACATTTGTACATCACGTATGCTCTGAAGCACAAGTACCCTACTAACATGAGCTGACAAGGGGTGAATGGCGGACTTGAATTTACTAATAGCATAAGCAAAATGTTACCTGTTCTCACCAACGCCGTTCCTTTCCCACATCAGAGAGCCCTTACCTTTTACTGTGAGCTCTGCCGTCGATGTGTGGGGACCCACTCGGAAAGCAACAGTGCCAATGTCCTGCTCAGTCACCTTCCTTAATGTCAAGGTGTGAATCTTTCCTTTTTCCACTGAGATCTCATTCATTTCGTTATTTTGCAGAGCAACATCCTGTAGCTTCCATTCAACGTCCCTTGCATTCTCATGAGAAACCTGGCACCGAAATGTGACATCGTCCCCTTCAAACACCACCGTGTCCTTTAGGCCACTCACGATGGTCACGTCAGGCTCTGCAAACAGTCCATCAGTAGTCAAGCCATGAAAGGGAAAACACGGATCAAATCATAGAATCACCAAATAATATAGGTTGGAAGGGACTTCTGGAGGTCATCTGGTCCAACCACTGCTCAAAGCAGGGCCAGCTTACAGCAGGTTGCTCAACACCTTGTCTAGCTGAGCTTTAAGTACCTCCAAGGATGAAGATATCAACCTCTCAAATCACTTATTTCAAACTCTGCTGGTACGCTAGTTTCAGCATACTTGGTAACATGGCCAATATCTTTCAGTTAGTGGTTTTATTGCTTGCCCTTTCTCAAAGATACATTGCATATTGACTTTTTAATTACCTGTTTGATACATAACTGGGTGAATAAGGTGTGACTGCTAGATGCTAAAATCAGGAATTTAAAAATTGTTACAATTACACTTAGATATCATGAATAACATGAAAACCTGATCCCCTCTACTGTCTTTTTGCAAACTGAATTGCATATACTCAGTGCTGGCGCTCCAAACTGGCTGGGGATCTGGTTGGCTCTGTGCTCTCAGCAGGACTTACTGGATTAGTGTGAGCACAGGCCATTTGCGCTTCAGTCTGCTTGAGTCCTGCTTCTAGGACAGCTGGGCACCTGCAGACCTGTGCAAAGTTCATACAGATAGCCCACAACTGGCAAAAGCTGTATGAACCCCGAATCTGCTGGGCAATGCCAAAGGAGAAGCAGCGCAATCTTCATCTAAGCAAACACAGTTCATATTCATACAACTGAGGTCACCATCTGCACAAAAAAATGATGCAGCTGGGCATAATGTATGGAGTACCTATAATATCAAGTAGCCTGTAGAGATGCTAGCGGTGGTTGTTCCACTCCAGTGGTCCAACCTGAAAGCAAGCTCCGTCTGTAACGACATTAAGGCCAGATGCAGCTGCCATGTGACTGGAAGCTGGGGATGAACCATCTGTTCACTCACATGCATATGATGTCAAGCAAATATTTCAAGCCATGAGTCAAAAATTACAGCTGCCTTATCCTCTCCTGTTGACCAATTGAATTTTTGCTTCAGTGTATTCATCGAGCACAAGATTTTTTATGATACCCTTCCTATGCTCTGTGTTTATCGCAATAGTTTGTCACAATTTTTTATCACAATAGTAACAATAATGCTGCAAAATCTTAGCTTCGTAAAGTGAAAATCCCCTTGCCCCAATAAACGGGTCTTGCCTTTCACGGTCAGTTTTGCAGAGCTCTTCTCATCTCCAGCCTTGCAGGAATACTCTCCGGCATCGCTAGGCTCCAGGCGGTGAACGCGCAGCTCGCGGAGGGTGCCGTCCTGCCACATTTCGTACTTGGCGCTTGAGTGAAGGACGACTCCATCTTTCCTCCACTCCACTTCTGCTTTGCTAATGGAAATCTCACAGCGCAACCTGGCCGTTCCTCCCACTTCCACTTCTTCATTCTTCAGCTGCTGCTTCAACCGGGGTTTGATGGCTGCAAAGTGAAAAACAATTAATGCACGATTCATTAGCTTGAACGCCAGGTCTGGACAACTCAGCACAAGGCACCTGGGGTCTGACGCTGCAGAACAAATTTACATTAAGTGGTTATATGATAAACAACAACCTTTTTTTCCTCTCTATAAACAAAACTATATTCTGTATATCTGGACAAGGAGAGGATCAGAAAGTTCCCCAAATATGTTTGTTTCCCATAAAGTCAAGGGCATCCACATTATACCTCTTACACATCTACTCTGTATATTGGAAACTCCCACACGCATAAAGATTTTGGCTAAGCAAAACCTGGTACTTTCTGATTAAAACTAGTGTAAATCTGTTCATTTTTATAAAAATACTCATGACTGCCAACACTACAAAGTATGTAAAGCTTTAAACACAGCTCTTATTTCTCTGCTATCTTTTCAAGACCCTAGACCATCAACAGTGAGTCCTTCCAGACGATGCACAAACAAATAGACTACATTTATTCAAGCGAGGCATGGAACAGCTCAGGCAACAGCTTGTCACTGATGAAAACAAGAAGGGAATATCCACCTTGTGTGTGTGAGCAGTTATGAAAACACGAATCTCAGTGCTTGTGGTCGCTCTGTCTGAACTCTATTGAGATACATGTAAAGCAAGCACAGGGCTCTTTCACTTGTAGTTGACCCACCGGCTGCTTTGTGGGTCAGGCTCAGCCAAGAAAACATAGTCTGAACGGTTGTGGCTTAGATCAAAGCCACAAGTTGCACCCAACAGTTCGAGATGACCATTAACATTAATCACAGACATTATTATGGTTTGTTTAAACACAGTGTTCTCAAGATTTTCATGGAAGGGCATTACAAAAATTGGAAACAGTATTTTTTTTAAATGCTTTTGTAAATGACTTATGATTACTTATTGATTCAACTCAACCAGCAATGAATGCCAAGTGCTAAAAATAAAGATCTGTTAGAATTTCAAAATCCCCATGATGCAGAGAGTTTCTTGCTTTTATCATATCAGAGAAGGGGTCAATACACTGTACGCTGTGCTTTACAGGCTTAAATAACCATTCTACAAATCCTGTCCCATATGACCCACTTTCTGTATTCTGGTTTATGACTGGGCACCTGCTTTCCTCTTTATCTTAACTTTTGGGTGCCTTATTCACCAATGAATAAAAGGATATCATTCACACAATTTTACAGATCCCTTTTATTATGCAATGCTAACCATTCACTCTGAGGACTGCTGTGCTCTGTTGGTCTCCTGTATCACATGTGTAATCAGAGGCATCTTCTGGTTCTACATTATGAATCACAAGTTCAGCTGTGCGACCGCTTAATTTAATTTCATATTTGGCGCATGGGAAGAGCTCCATGGTGCCTTTCCTCCATTCCACTGTTGCATTATCCTTTGTCAGCTCACACTGGAATTTCACTGCAGCTCCTTCTTCCACCTCCTTGTCTTTGAGCTCCTTTTTGAAAAGAACTGGCAGAGCTAAAGGGGAAAAAAAAAGAAGCACAGGAGCTTTTACTGAAGCCTCAGTCAAGTCCTGGTTAACACAGCGAGATTGACACTTCGGGGAACAAGATGCTGTACTTTGCAAGTACTATATTTCTAGGCAGGATCCATGTTTTCTAATTTTCCTGGAGCTACTAGGAGATCTTGCTGCATCAGAAGCAGCCATCAGCACTTATAACATTTATTTTCCTTTGTTCCTTGACTCAAATCTTTCCCAGGGTTGAATTATTTGAATGAATTTATCCTTCAGTTGATCTAACAGAGATCTCAAGAGTAAAGAAGTTCAAAACTCCATGGACAGCCTTGACAGATCAGGAAGGTCGTTGTCAGTCTTCTTCCAGGATTTGGAAGAAAATCTTTTTTTAAATACTTTAACCACATGTCATGTGAAATGTCCAGGCGTTATGTTAAAGCATTGCTCTTTCTTTAATTTCCCCCTAGCCATAAAGCTAGAAAGTATTTCTTCTTAGAACCCAAAATTCAAATGCAGCTCTGGAAGAACAAAGTATCATCCTCTTCCATTCTCATTAAAAAAAAAAAAAAAAAAAAAAAAAAAAACCCCCTTCTCCTTTATAAAAAAAAAAAAAAAAAAAAAAAAAAAAAAAAAAAAGAGAGAGAGAAATCCTAGTACATCAAATGAAAAGGAAAATATTTATAGGGAAAAAAAATCATGTACTTAAAAATATTCATATTCAAGCTGTTGCTTTACATGTCGGATGAAAGCTATTACTTTAAGAGTCAGCTCACACTACCTACCTTTCACATTTAAAGATGCCTTGGTTTCCTGATCCCCAGTATCACAGCTGTATTCTCCTGTATCTTCTAATTTGAGATTATGTATTAAGAGCTCTACCCGGCATTCCCTCTGCCTCATTTCATATTTCTGGCTGGGCTGCAGCCCCACTCCTCCTTTCCTCCATTCCACTGCCGTATTGGGTTTTGACAGCTCACAGCACAATGTAGCTGTACTTCCTTCCTCCGATTCCTTATTTTGAAGGGGTTGCTTAAATGTGACAGGCAGTGCTGCAAAATTTGAGAGGGAAATGTTTTAAAAATGTTTTAGTCCAGAAAGGACCCAATCCTACCATCATTCTTCAGAATTGGCCTATTCTAATGATTCCATAATCTTTGGGCTGCAGCTCTCTTGATAGCAACTTTCTTGAACCATTACGTGAACCAAGAGCTGAGGACAGATGGTGAAGTCAGGAAAGATCTGGTCTTAGAGAGTGGTCCACAGAATGGCCTGGTTTGTGATCTGAAGGAGTCAGACTTTCCTACAGAAGCGTCTCCATGCCAACTAGGGATGCTTTAGTCAAAGACCACTGGGACATGCTCTCTCTTACATGGAACCCTTGTTCCTTAATAAAGGTCTGCAAGTTTGCAATATTAAGAGAAGAGTATTTCCCCCCCCAAATAAAGCTTCTATCAATATATAAAAAAATCAAGTTAACATTCAAAACACAAGAAGCGGCAGTATAATAAAAGATGACAATAAAGTGATAAATGGAAGAGCAAATTCAGATTTCAGGCTAGGTCTTGCTCTGAATGGTAGAAGGGGTGGAGGAACACAGATGTGGATGCACTTGTTTGCACTCAAGTTTTATACTCGAGGCTCAAAGCCTCAAATAATAATCCAGCACATTCACATGTTATAGAAATCCTTTATCCCCCAATTGTTGCATCTCTTATCATCCCAATTGGGCATTATGCTCAGTTAGGTATCCCTTATGCCTACTGAAGCAACCAACAACCAAATAACCATCAGCCTGCCTGGCTTATTTTCTGTTATCCATTCCCATACGTAGCCACACACTGAGGGCAGGAGGATTCATCCTATTTTGACATCATGGCAACATTTAATTGCTTTGATGCTGATTAATCACTCCAGATACTGCAAGCGGAACCTCTCTAACTTGACCATGTGTCATGCTCAAGTAGAATATGTATGCTGACATGGACCAGCAGCAAAACAAATAAATATCTGCAGGGAACACTGAGATGCTCCTTTTACTTCATCTCTATTGAGCCAAGAGCCTCTGCCTACCATGTACAGTTACCACAGCCATTGTCTGCTGATGTCCAGAGTCACAGGTGTACTTTCCTGAATCATGCGGTTCTAAGTCATAAATGACCAATTCAGCAGTGGAGCCCTGCTGCTTCATCTCGTATTTCAAACCAGGGTAGAGGGTAGTATCTCCTTTCCTCCACTCTACCGGAGCATTGGGTTTAGTAAGTTCACACCTCAGTGTTGCTGTACCACCTTCTTCTGCCTCGGTATTCTGAAGCTCTTGTTTAAAAAGTGCTGGTAGGGCTATAAAATAGAAATATAACTTGCAACATACTGCGGTTGGGGTTTGGGAAAGAGAAAGAAGAAAGAAAATGAAAGCACCAAAGGAGCTTTTCTGCAGATGTCGCTAAACCTCAATGCTCTAGATTCAAAGTACAAGGCTATTTCCCCAGAGAGGTGATAGGAATATCTGCAGAACAAGAAGAAATCAATTTCAAGAAGCTACATTTGCTGTGAAGTATATATAAGCTTAATCTAATCTATGATCTAAAAATGGCAGAATATTTTTCCTACTATAAAAGTAGCCAACATGTTGACCTGATCACGGAGGAGATATTCTGAAGATCAGCAGGGATTTGTAAGAGTTCAGATTCCTTCTTAAGGCAGGCCACTTGCAGGAGAGATTACAGTTATCCTGACAGCAACATACTGACAAAATGCATTTAGTTCCACATTGCAACTCCTATTTGCTACCTGGTCACTCTACTAGGCTGTATAGACCATGCTATTCTGCACACCTTCCTTATGAATTGTAGCCAAGTCATCTCCATAAGTGACACTAATATACAGCTTTTGTTTTCAGAATGTATTATAACCCTTTCCCTTTTTCTTTTTCCCACTTTTTTAATTTTTTTTTTTTTTTTTTTTTTTTACCATTGACTGTCAAAGTGGCAGTCGTCTGCTGATCTCCACACACACAGGTGTAATCTCCAGTGTCCTCCACATTCAGATCATGGATAATCAGCTTTGCAACAGCACCATCTTGACTCATTTTATATTTGCTGCTTGCTTTCAGCACCTCCTGCCCCTTCTTCCACTCCACCACAGCAGGTTTAGTCAGCTCACAGTGCAGAGCAGCTGTCCCACTTTCTACAGCTTCTAGGTCCTTCAGGTCTTTTTTGAATTCTGGAGGCAGTGCTGAAGAGTAAAAGAATTACCATAGAGAGAGTGAATATTCCAAAAAAGGGAGCTAGATGAAGTCATCCTGGGGGAGAGGATGCATGGTGCACTACTGAGCCCTGATCCAGGTCAGTGGAACACAGCAGAAAAATCTCCGCCAGCTTCCCTGGACTCTGCATCAGGGCAAGGAAAATGAGAAGGGCCAGCACAGCTGAGGACAAAAACCAATAGGCAACTCTTTTCCCTGTTCTAACAGAAGGAGGAAGCACATAAGCAAAGTCTAAAGGAAGACAAAAGCCCAAGCAAACAAAAAGGGAATGGGAAGAGACCATAGAAACAGAGACTTGGGCAAGTCTAAGGTTTGCAGGACCTTAGTTGCAAGGATTACTTTACCATGCACTCTTAAGGCAGCTGTGGTGGTCTTGTCTCCACACACACAGGTATAATCTCCAGTATCATTGAGGTCTAAATCATGAACTACCAGCTCCACAACACAGCCTTCCTGTTTCATGCTGTACTTGTTGTCCGGGGTGAGGACATGATGGCCCTTCTTCCACTGAACATGGGCAGATGCCTTGCTGAGCTCGCAGTGCAAAGTGGCTGTTCCACCTTCCACTGCTTCCTTGCTGGTCATTTCTTCTTGGAAAAATGGAGGCACAGCTGAAGGATGCAGGTAAAATGTATTACAAACTAAGAATATCTGCAGGGATGGGTGAGAGTAGGAAGGGACAGGGAAAAGTTGTGAAGGTTATGGAAGGGTGAGCATCAGCAACAAAGAGAGGAAAGAAATGAAAACAAACATCCTAGTGGGAATATATACCCTAATCCTTTTGGTTTTATGCTGGCTTCCTACTAGCAAAATTGCACTGTCCTCAAGAGATTTCCACCTGCTTTCTGCCAGTTTCCATGTAAGAAAAACTAAGAATATTATCTCTGAGCTCCATAGTTCGCACATGTGTTGGTGTCTTCCACAAACTTCATGCCTTTGTACTCTCTTTTCCTACTTATAGCCCTGCTGAGCTCTGAGTGTTGGCACAGCTCCTTACTCATCATCATTCCTTCTTCCTTGAGATACCCTTGAAAAGATGCAGCCAGGGCTTACAGATTCTTCTTGACCCCAAAGAAGATCTCCAGATGCTGAATCCCAGCCTGTTTTTGTGTCTCAGAACATGTTTTCCCCACTTTTATTTCCTTGAAATATACTTGGTGACCTTAACATATGTCCCTCCATTAACTAGGTAGGATAATTGGATATTCCACCTCCTTAACAAGGTTGGATATCTCAGATCTCAAACTTAATGACTCACTCCATAGTGGTGGAGCTAAGTTAAAATATCCAGGCTAGAAACCAGGTTTAGCCTCCTTGATTTGGTACATTTCCCATCTCCAGCAGTGTTAAGCTGAAACACCAGTTTTGTTTACACAGCAATAGGTTCTTGCAACAAAATAAGACCAAAAAGAGGTCACAGAAAGAATTTATTCTTTCCAGCCTAGAAAAATCAGACTCCCGATGCAAACCTATCTTTGTGCATTAGGACAGCAGTTCTGGGCACAAAACCCAATACAAACAAAACTTAGCAGAGAAGAAATCATAACTAACACAGTCTTATTCTGAATATTGCTTATTATGCCCTACATTAAAATGGTAGGTATTGAGAATGCCAGAAAGGAATGGCAAAGAATAAACAGATTTGTGGTTTAGAGAATAAATGCAGGAAAGGAAAGATAAAAGAATAGTGGGTTTATATACTAGGAAAGGAATGTCAGAAGGGAAAGATTAAAGGATAGCAGCTTTGTGTTTAAGGAAAGGACAAAAGGATGGCACAGAAAAATGCAGAGCGGTATTTTCCAGTATACACAGCCTGCATGTCATCAAACGCAGGGAATAATATTTCAAATTAATGGAACTTCAGTTAATAAGGTTGAACAAACAGACACAGAAAATTGAACACCTGATAGTAGAGGACAGACGTTTCCAGTTAGGAAATAGGAGGTCAAGATAGTTTTTACCCTGTACTGTTAAGACAGCTGTAGTCTGGTGCTCTCCACACACACAGATGTAGTCTCCTGCATCCTCCTCAGCTATTTCATGAATCACCAGCTCTGCCTCGGTCCCTTCCTGCCTCATTTTGTATTTCTCACTCTCTTTGAGAATCCTCTCGTCCTTCCGCCACTCCACCGGAGCAGCCTTGGTGAGCTCACAGTGCAGGGCGACTTCTCCACCTTCTTTTGCTTCCGTGTTCTTTAGCTCTTCCTTAAAGAGTGGTGGCAGAGCTGGAGAATGCAACATGGACAAATGGTCATCAGAAAACCAGAATTAAAATCCTAATTTCTTTCTCATGCTCGGCATTACGTCCCCTCATGCCTCCCTTTTTTCAGCCTATTATAAACACGCTTAGCTACAGCCAAGTTCAGAAACTCTGAAAGCATCCTTCAAGTGTGACGTGGTTTCGCTCACCGCAATGAATACTTATTACAAGTAATAAGAATTTCACGTTCTCACTATTTCCCATTTTGGAAATCAAAACCCAAAGACAGAACAACCTATAGGAAATAACCTTCAAGAAAACTAATTATTAACATTTACCCACAAATGTGCCTTGTGCACAACTACTGTAAGCAGGTACAAGGTACAAATGGTACTCCCCGAATGCTTCGGGAAAAAGTCCATGTCTCAGGAAAGCCTGAGGGGAGTCAGAAAGTTTTGGAAAAAAGCTGGAGGGGACAGAACTGGGTCTCTTTGACCAAGTAAGTTCCTCATAGCCAAGGACGGTTACTCCATTAAAATGGATACTCATTGATGAGAGGAGAGCAGAACATCAGGTAACAAGATTATTAATGTAACACAAGGATTTATTTCTGGATTGGTTTATTAGGACCCAGTAGGATAAAGAAGAGTATAACTGCTGATAACCTATGCTGTTGTTTGTTTTTTTTTTTTTAATACCTAACTGTCAAGGTAGTCTTGATCCCCACACACAGAGACAGACACCCCTGCATCCTTCAAACCGAGGTTAGAGGTAACAAGCTCTGAAACGGAAACTCTTAACTCATTCCGCATGTCTGACTTGCTTAAGGAATCTGGTACCCCCAGGAGTAGCCATGGGCAGGTCACCCAACAGAGCAACATCTCGTTCTCCTTTTGCTCCCCCAACCCTCTCTTCTCCTTTGAGCAGTGCTTGGAGAACAGAGGGCCTGACAGATCTTATGTGTGTGTCTTGGAGAAAACTGTGGTTGACTGAAGTGAACCATGTGGATGAGGGCGGGGAAAGAGCAGGAAAATATAAATGTCCAAGAGGAGGGAACCTGGACAGAAAGAAACATCTCATTTTCTCCTTTTAAAGGGGGGCAGATTAATAATGACCTAAAATTTTGCCCTGAGCCAGTCTTTCTCAGTAAGAAATGAGCTATACATAGCATGAAGAGAAATGGGAAAAAAACAAAGACAAGCTGCTGACTCAGGGCAGAAACAGCTGAATGTCAGAGTGATGTCTATCTATAGAACTATTTATTAATTTTAATAAGGTCTTTTTACCATGAACTGTTAAGGTTGCTGTTGTCTTCTGGTCACCACAAACACATGTGTAATCTCCAGCATCTTTTACTTCTAGGTCATGAATGAGCAGCTCTGCAGTGGTGCCAGGCTGTCTCATTTGATATTTGTCACTTGCTTTGAGCACTTTGGACCCTATTTTCCACTGCACTGGAGCTGCTTTGGTTAATTCACAACGCAGAGAGACTGATACTCCTTCTAGGACTTCTTCATTCTTCAGTTCTTCCTTGAAAAGCACTGGCAGGGCTGGGAATGGAAAGTCAATAGATAGTGTATTTAAACTAAGACCTCTGCATTTGCGATCAGCATCATGAATTCTCAACTGAAGTCCAAATCTGGCCAAGCCAGGCTTTAGCCATTGAGGCTGAGGTTATCATTATGATGATCTGGAAAACTAAATCCAGCAGTGACAGTAAGAAAAGAAATGCTGAGCTGATGGGTCAAAGTACAACAGGCTGGATGGATTCAAGATGCAACCTAAAGAATTTATCACAGGGCCACCCTCCATGGGGGCAGGACGTCTCAGCTGGTCTAACAGAAGCATTTCCTAGGCGCTACTCCCTTAAACTTACAGCATAGTAATTTGTCTGCATGGAGAAACAGTCATGTCCTCAACTCCCTTTTCAGGAATATCAGACCAAAATTAAATGCCAACACAAGAAGTTCTCCTTTCCTGAACACAAAGTAATTCCTAGGAAAAAGCCTAAAGCTGATAGGTGAACACTTTGTACTGCAACAGGATGTTTCAAAGAAACAAAAAACGAACAGTCATCTGCAAAATGAATTTACCATTCACTGTCAGAGAAGCCGTGGTGTGTTGGTCTCCACATACACAGGTGTAATCTCCCGCATCCTGCGGCTCTAGATCACAAATTTCCAGTTCAGCAAGGGCATTATCCTGCCGCATGATGTATTTTTCACTTGCCCTGAGTATTGTGTTTCCTTTCTTCCATGACACAGCTGCAGCCTTGGTCAGCTTACAGCGCAAAGTGGCTGTTTGGCTTTCCGTGGCTTGCAGGTCCTTCAGGTCTTCTTTGAAAAGTGCAGGCACGGCTGAAGGTCACAAAATGGACAGAGGACATGAAAAATGACACGTGGCACATGGGTGATGGGAGGGATTGGGTCATACAGAAGCAGAGAACATTTCAGGGTGGAAAGAGTTTCCTTTCCTCGTAATTCTGGGACATTGGACAAACCAATAGACAGAAACAGAAAAGCAGCCTGGATGCAACCAGGTCTTAGACACAGCTTACAAATTTAAAAAAACAAAATCAGCCACAGGTGAACACACAACAAATAGTGATGAGCTGGTAGAGAAAAACACAATAATACAGGTATATGTCTGGTTTTTACCATGCACTGTCAAGGCAGCTGTTGTCTCCTGTTCTCCACACACACAAGTGTATTCTCCAGCATCTTTCAATTCTGCGTCATGGATAAGCAGCTTCATGACCGTGCCCTCCTGTCTCATTTTGTATTTGTCGCTGACTTTGAGCAAACTGCTTCCCTTTCTCCACTCTACTTGAGCAACCTTGGTCAGCTCACAGCACAGAGTGGCTGCTTGACCTTCTGTTACCTCCTCGGCCTTCAGTCTTTCCTTGATGCGTGCAGGCAGCGCTGAGGATGCAATGGACAGAGGGTTAAAATGGAGCAGCAAACACAGCTTCCCGGCAATGGGCAGGGGTGGGAGGAGGAAAGGCGAGGGCAGCAGTGAGGAGCTGTCTTCAGGTCTGATCTCAGATCTGCTTTAGGGATCAGGTCCTAAAACCACTTTGTGTTAGGAAATGGGATAAAGTTTTTCCCTTAAATCACAAAATGCAAATTAATTCTCATGACTATGACATGCAAAGTCAGACTCAGAGGAACTATGCAGAGATAACAATGAACATGAAGAAAAAATTAATTCAAACCATAAGCTTGATAATGAGGACATCTAGATGAAATTGATTATTACCGTGTACTGCTAAGGAAGCTGTGGACTGCTTATCCCCACACACACAGGTATAATCACCAGCATCACTCTCATTTAGATTATGGATCACCAGTTCTGCAGTGACATCCTTCTGCCTCATTTTATATTTCTCGCTAGGTTTGAGTACTGTGTGTCCTTTTTTCCACTCCACTGAAGCAGTCTTGGTCAACTCACAGCGCAGAGTGACTACTTCACCCTCAGTGGCTTCCTCATTACTTAACTCTTCTTTGAAGAGAGCAGGAAGAGCTGAGAAACAAAGGAGCAAACATTTTCGTGACATGCAGTTCTTGGCCACCAAAAAAAAAAAACGAACGAACCTTGGTGTTTACCAGTATCTATTCATGCCTAGTTATTGACATGAGGATCACATCACAGAAAGAAGGTACTAATTTGCATCATAGAAACACAAGGGTCTCACACTGCTTAAATTTGCTGATTGGTTTAGGGATGTATGGAGAATAAACAGGAATGGGAAAACTTCATGTATGGTCAAAACTATAGCTTTCTCAGTGTAATTCAGCCCAGGAAAAGCAATATGGTAGGTTACACCATGAACAGGAAAAAAAAAAAAACCTAAAGGAAAAAAAGAAAAGGATTTACCTTACATGTTAAGGATGCCTACAGACCTAGCCTGAGAGTTAGAATGAGGCTGAAGAGCAGAATCAGACAGACCTCTTGAAAGTGCTTGGGTAACAATAAAAAGGAAAAAGAAGGACGATGTCTTATAGCAGATTTCCACAAGGAAGACCTTCACACCAGAAAGTTCAGGTGTGTCCTAACACCTCATCCCTTTTTGGAACAGCTAATAGAATCGTTCAGAGCATAAGACTGGATGGTAATGTAACAATATATACTGTGGGAGCAGTAGGATGGGACAATGTCTGCTAGGTCTTTAGGATGGGGTAGAGACCACATTTGGATATAGAATATATATGAAAGAACAGAAGAGGAGGATGTCCAAGTCCTGAGTCTGACCAGCAAGAAATAAATATTTGAGAACACAGATTTGGAGGATAATTGGTCAGACACCAATTATGAAGCAGGAGAGGCTCATGGATTTTAGGACAAGTAATGATGGAGAAGAGGAAAAAAATTCTGTGGGCAACAAGAAAGCAAGCTTCAATAATTCAATAATTATTACTTACGATCAGGCAGAAGCAAACTTAAAGGATGAGGTAGTTTAAGAGAGTGGAAAGCTTCTTGAAGAAAGAATACAAAGGGCATAATTACACAGACTACCCGACTCCAAGGGCCACCAGGAATAACTTGCCTAAATCATGAATTCTTCCATGTCCTGAAACTTGAGAGACCTATAAAATACGGGAGGTTTAGATGAGTGCAAAAGAAATACTACAGAACGTAGAGGCAAAACCAGAAAGGACAGTTTCCCGGCATGTCTCAAGAAGGTCAAGGCCAGTTTCCCATTCCTGGACTCTGTCACCTCATGGACAAAGAGACCAACATGAAAGAGGGGCTGAAAGGTAATCTGCAAAATGATGCTGATATCAAATATCTCCAGACACAGCTGAATGCTGTATGTAGTTTCATCCAGCAACTGGGTGGTGAGATCACTACTCCAGGAGCTTTCCATGTCCTCTGCTCACAGTTCAAATTGTGGCTCTTGACTGTATCAGAATATTAGCATGCAAATCCCAGGAACCCTGGCCAGCCTGAACTAGAAAGAAGGAGAAATAATACAATGATATTCTGTACGTAGATTAGAAGGAAGAAAAACAACAAGAGAGAAGTTGGTCTACCAGCTTTCAGGAATGTAAGTTGGTGGTAGGTAAGAAGGGGTAGCTGAAGTGTTTAATTCCTTTTTCTTCTGTAATATTAAAAGTTAATGATAGCTAAGAAAGTAATAGGAATTCTGGCTAGGATAAGGAAAAAAAAAAAAAAGCTAGAGAACATTTAAATAAACGGAATATTCTCAAAGCACCTTGGTGTGATGAAATTTGCCCTGGAATACTTAAGGTACAAGCTTAACCAATATTAGACATTAACAGTTACACTGGAGAAATCAAAGAGAATGCATGATGTTCCACAAGTATAGGAAATAATGGAAACTCAGAGGTGGAAAAGGTCTCACAAATTGAAATGCACACATTTAGTTCTCACCATGTAAACCAAGAGTCTAAGCTCCCAGGACAGTCAAGAAAGATCAAAAGTCAATGGAGCCAATGGAGCTACCTCCTGACCAAATGTAAATGTCTCCTATATGATGAACTGGATGTCTCCCTGGCTTCCATTGACTGTGTTGATTAGATCTCCACAGACAATAGGAATTTAGGAACACTCACCAGTCTTGATCTACAAGCTGAATTCCACCCACAGTGCTTGTGTCTTGGAAAAAACAGGTGAGAAGAGGGAGGCAGACAGAGGATCTAAGAACCATGGCCATTTCAGCTTACCTTTAATTCTTTGAAAAACATTGTAGCAACACTTGGACTTCTGAAGAGCTTTTCTTTTCGTGAAGGAGTGGACCAGTGTAATATTTGTTGACATAGGTTAATGAACTTCTGTGAGAGACACACACAATATATGCTGTACACCTTGATTTTAGTAAAGCTCTTACTTTAACTACACTAGGAAGCACTAACAGCTTGAAAACCACAAAGACTGTTCAACTGTGATTTGCACTGACAATGAAAGAATGAGTTGAGCAGAGTTCCTCAGTGCTCTGGAGTCCAGTATTATTCAGCATTTTCTTTAGTGGCTTGGACTATCAAATGCAGAGTAATCATTAACTTTGCAGATGATCTCAAGCTGGGAAGGGAGAGAGGCTGAGAGCACTTTGTTAAACAGGATTAGGATATAGAAGATCTTGATGAAGCAGTGGTGAAAAAACAGGCTGCAATTCAGCAAGAGCAGGTGCAAAATACTATATTTAGGAACAATCAACAACACAAATACAAAATGAGGAACAATAGGCAGCAGATCTGCAGAGAGAGATTTGGGGTTACCAGAGGTCATGGAGCAAATGCAAGTCAAAAAATGCAATTCTGATGCGAATAAAGCAAACATCATATAGGATATATAAAAATGGAGCATCATATGCAAGACACGTGAAGCCTTTCAATGCTACTTCAGTCTGGCAAAGCCTCTGATGGAGCACTGTAGTCTGCTTTTGGCCACCACACTTCTAGAAAGATGTGGATTAACTGAAGATGGTCCAGAAAGCAAACAAAGATGAGCTGAAGTCTAGAAAACATGACCTATGAAGAAAGAGTGAAAGGATTGAAGGTGCTTAGTCCAGAAAAGAGAAGACAGAAAGGAGACATGATTTAAGTTTTCAGATCTTTCACAGAGAGGAAAATAACAAATATTTCTCTATTTCTACAGGACATATCCTGTAGACAAGAAGTAATGACTTAAACCAGCTCGAGAAAGACTGTTGTTGAAATTAGGAGACCTTTCTGGCAGTATTGATGGCTAGGCAGTGGAATGAGTGTCCAGGGGAACTGCAAACTCTTCAACACTCAAGTGAGGCTAGGTAGGTGTGATGGTGACTTGGGGCTCAAGGATGGACTAGATGACCCGTAAAAGTCCTTTCCAATTCTATTTTCCATGGTTAAATTAGAAGTTCAAGACTGAAGGCATCCTTGTTTTATTGGTAAACATGAAGATGAAAAAGTCTGGGCAGTAAAAAGAAATCAACTCATTGACCTACTGAATTTCCAGGTGAGAAAGATGGCTGAAACTACTTTCTACTGTCCTATGGCAATAGTGGAAATAAAGTTTCCCTCTCTTCCAAGAAAAGTTTGCAGATGAATTTAACTGAGGACTGTGAAGTACTCTCACACTATAATGCTGAGTATTCTGCAATATCAGAATACAAATCTACTCAATCCTTGGTCAGAGTTATATAGAAAAGTTGGATTGAATCAAGTTCTGTTTGCATTATTTAAAATGATCTGTCAAATCCTAACGTAACTTGAAATCTAAGATCGCTCTAAGACGTATGAATGTTCCTGCTGCTCCATCTCTCTAAGCTTAAGTCAAAAGTGAGTAAAACAGAACAAAAAATGCAAGCACGTGGCATCCTTCTGCTCTCAGTGTGGTGCAAAGCAGTACAGCCATGCACCAACAACAGCAAGAAGAACACAGGGAAAATGTTAGTCTAATCATGGAACTACAGTTCTAGTTAGAATTAGATAAAAATCACAATAAAAACAAGAAAATAATTTACTAACAGAATGAATGATGGCAAGATTAGAGAAAGAACTCATGTGTGTCAGTACTGAGGCTTCCAGAGGAAACAGGAGAAGCATCACACAAAAATTTCTCATTTCTGTTTTCTTTACCATGCACTGTCAGTGCTGCAGTAGTCTTCTCATCTCCACACACGCAGGTATACTCCCCAGCATCCTTGACTTCTAAAGCATGGATCAGCAGTTGTGCTGTAGTGCCTTCCTGTCTCATAGTATATTTTTCACTGGATTTGAGCACTTTATGTTTCTTTTTCCACTCCACAGAGGCAGCCCTAGATAGCTCACATTGCAGCGTGGCTGTTCCACCTTCGGTGGCTTCTTCATTCTTCATCTCTTTCTTGAAGTGTGCAGGCAAGGCTGAGGAGTTCAAAATGAGCAGAATGTATGACCATGGCAGCTATCCAAGTAACTATTTATCTGTGGTCTGTCAACCACATGTGACAAGCAAAGCTTTCCCTAATCAAATAGGATTGATAAACACTCTGGGAAACATATGGTGGTGACTTTGGAAAGCTGGAGAACACCTTGTTCATAAGTCAGAGCTTTTTTTACAGTATGGTCTATGGCATGAAACAGAGAACCACAGCAGTCTCAACTTCAGGCTCTGCAAGACTGAGCCCTACCTTACTTTGGGTATTGCTGGCACACTGGAAAATAAAGTCCAGCTGGGGTGTGTAAGTTCTATTGCAATGCAAATCATTACCGAAAAAAATTCATAAGTGAAACTGTATCCGAGGCATCAGTCTCACTTTCCCCATGAGATTTCTTCTCAGATAATGGACTAGCAGAACTTAACTGTCAAATTATTGTGAAACACTGAAAACTGTATCAAAAATATCTCATAATCAAATTGTAATATTCTCCACTTTAGGATTGTAACGTCTTTACAGCCAACATTACAATAATGCAATTTTCCTTTTTTAACAACTGCTACCGAACATGAGCAAAGCAGCAAGTTGGAACCAAGATGAATATCTGAAATTTTTGCAACGAATAGCTGATACTGACAAGTGTATTCAAGCATTTATGCCTGTGTCCACCCACATGTTGCTAAATTCATCAGAAACGGGGCTGCAATTTCAAAGCTGATACTACTATGCTCTTTAAAAACAAATGGTTGAAAATAATCCACTTAATTTTATTTTTTTTTTTTACCATTCACTTTTAGTGCAGCAGTGGTTTTCTGATCTCCATAACAGCATGTGTAATTTCCAGCATCTGTCAGATCTAAATCACGGATCACCAGCTCAGCAGTTGTGCCCTCGCATCTCATGGTGAACTTGTCATTTGGCTTCAGGGTTCTGTCTCCTTTCCTCCATTCCACAGCAGCTGTGGGCTTGTTCAGCTCGCAGCAGAAAGCGGCCGTGGCATTTTCTGTGGCTTCCACATTCTTCAACTCTTTTTTAAAATGTGGAGGAAGGGCTGAAGATCACAGGTGAAGAGAGAGCACTTTAAAATCGAGGAAATACTGCATCTCAACTGCTCCACTGGATTAAAACCCCTTAATCGCTAAAGGTTTTAGACTATACAGTACCCGAGAGGCAAATGATGATTTCAGGGGCATCCCTGCCTTATGCTCTGCAAGACACCGTTCAGCATGTCACAACTGAATTGGAAATCAGTGCTGTGAAACTTCAGCACTGGAAGGTATGCTTTAAAGGCATTTTAAGGTTTTAAGAGTTAAGCTGATTCCAAGCTTTCAAGGAAACATGCACAGCTCTGTCTTAAGACCGGATGAGCAATTAAAATGAACACTATGTTATTTAAGATTCCAGGCGGCAAGGTATTGTTCTCATCTGCCTTTCTCAGTTACTATCATAACAGAGCATCTTTCAATTCCATTCAAGTAAAACAAGTGAAATCTCAGTGATATGCCTAGACAAATTAATTAATGGAAATACTGCAAGTGCTATTTATGACTTCACCAAGGTCTGCTTCCAGATTCCATTACCATGAAAGAAAAGGGACAGAAAAGACTGTACGGTGCTATTTATCAGTCCCAAGTGAAGGACTTGCAGTAAAAGATATTCCCAGTGGTTGATAGAGTTGTTATAAAAATTTAAAATAATAGATGGGACCAAGAACAGTTTGTGATCCTACATGCGATCACAGATGACAAAGCAGGAAATTCCTATTAAACTTATTTTTTACCATGCACTGTCAGGGATGCAGTAGTCATCTTGTCTCCACACACACACGTGTAATCTCCTGCATCTTGTTCCTCCAGGCTATGGATTGTCAGCTCAGCAATGGTATCCTTCAGTCTCATTCTGTACTTCTCACTAGGCTTGAGCACCTTTTGCCCTTTTCTCCACTCCACCGGAGTGGGTTTAGTTAGCTCACACTGCAGAACAGCTGTCCTGTTTTCTGTGGCTTCCATATTGACAAGTTCTTTTTTGAACAGTGCAGGCAAAGCTATGGGACGTAATACAAACAGAGAGTACATCAAAACCATTAACCAGACCTTGAGGAAATTAGGAATAGGTCCTGAGGCCAGTCCTTCACTATTACAGGAAAACAAATCATAGTCTTGAAAATTTCATCTATTAGCAAAACTACTGCAGGATCCCACAGGGATAATTGCCACCATGACCAGCCTCTAATGTTGACTTATGCAGCATGCTCATCATTTCCCAGGTGATTCCAGTAGTCTACTATTTCAGTCTGAATTCATCTATCTTAAACATTAATGACCTGACTTTTGATTGAACGTCACTGCCCTAGATGATGGCACTGGTAGCTGGAGATGTCTGCCTTTCCTGACACCATAATTTATTTCTTGTTCAGAAAAAAAAAAAAAAAAAAAAAAAAATCAGTAATATAACTTCAGGTGCACCTTTAAGCCATAATTTCCAAGAACATAATGGCTCTAATATCAGGAATACAGAGATTTTTCTAGCAGCAGTCAGCAAGTTGCCTTGTGGTGTGCCACCAAAGTAAAATGAAGTGACTTGCACAGGGACAAAAATGCCAGCTCAGAGGAGGGGAGGAACAGAAGCACCTCCAGCCGAGGGAAAGAAGAGGAAGGAAAAGCATGCAGAAAATCTGAGAAGAGAGTTTTGCATCCACAGTTTTGCCCCTCTCCTTAGAAGCATCTTATCCTTAATGTATATCTCAAATAAAAACTATTCTTTCATCTGTTGGAACTATATATGAGCTGCCTCTGCTGGAGGGGCAACCAAAGCTTGTCACTGTTCACCATGGCAGAGACAGGACCAAAACCTGTCTCACTATTCCCTAAATCAGGACCTGCAGGATAATGGTTTGGGTTTTTTTTTTGAAAGTACCATGTCCTCAGCAGAATACATCTCAGTCCCACAAAGGAGGAGGACAGTTATTCATTCCTGAATAGGAAAACGTCTCACTAACTGAGCTCAGCATTTTTAAACATCATTCCTTCAAGTTAAGCACTGAAATCCACTGACACCAGTGGGACGCAAGGACAAATCCTCTGAAAGCAAGCTTGCTGCTGGAGGTCTGCTCACTTTGGGCCTTACATACAGGTGCCTTTTTCAAAGTGAAGACTAAGATGAAAAATTCTCACAACTCTACCTTGTTATAAAGCCACCAATTTCAAACTGACAGACAGTGGGAGATGGGATGAAACACAGCCAGCAAAGCTAGAAAATGCTGCAGAACCAAAACATCAAAGCAAGTGGGAAAGAGACCTCTCGGAGAAAAGGATGCTCCCTGAAATACTGCTATCATAACGGAGAATGGCTTTTTTTACCATGGACTGTCAAGACAGCCGAGGTCTTCTGATCTCCACACACACAGGTATATTCTCCTGTATCTTCTACCTCCAGATCTCGGATCAACAGCTCTGCAGCAGTATCTTCTTGTCTCATCCTATACTTATCACTTGGTTTGAGTGTCTTGTCCCCTTTTTTCCACTCCACTGGGACACCGACCTTGCTCAGCTCGCAGTGGAGAGTGGCTGTTGCACCGTCAGTGGCTTCTCTGTTCTTTAATCCTTCTTTGAAAAATGCAGGCAAAGCTGAAGGACAGTAATATGAGCAGTGAGATGTAATGCTCCCAAGAGTTAAAATTAAGCATGGATGTTTAATTTTCCTTTTCCCTCTTATCTTGAACTGATTTATCAATACAAGATCATAGATTCGCAATAGTCTCCATGAATCAGTATGAGGAAAGAAATGTCATCACTAGGAAAGGATTCAATGCTTGCAGTAGTCTGTAGAGATATTTTACATGTACTCAGTCACAAATCAATATGGACAGAAATAGAAAACCCAATTTTTTCCTGTGAAATTTCAGGCAAAAAGAATAAATACTAATTTGAAATTTCTGAAAAAAATTGGTTTTCTTATACGACTTTTTAAATCATAATGGGAGTACATTTGCTATGTTTTCACATACTTAAGCAAATGAAAAGACATTGTCTGTTAGAAAAATGAAACACTGGAGTTTCATTCTAAATGTCAGTTTGAAATGAAATTATTCATTTCAATACATGGTGGGAAAACAGGCGTTTTCACCTGAACTGACATATCCTTTCAAACACGTCAGTTGCAGTAAAAATCAAAGTTCTCCCTGGGAATGGTCGTCCCTTAGAAGGTTTGGGCTTGCTTTACACAGGAGAGTAACTGAATGCAATGACAACTGGTCCATATGTACAAAAGCACCTTGTTGTCCCAGGAATGGAGTACGGGAATAAGATTCCAAGGAATAACCTAACTTTTGGGAATTTTATGAAACCTTAAAAATATTAAGTCATAGTCCCTTCGAGGCAACCCATTTTATTGGGCTTGAGCATAACAGGGAGCCTAATAAAAGAAACTTTCAAGGGGAAAAGCAAAGTGATGGACCCTAATTAAAACAGTGGAGGCAATCAGAGCTGCCTATGTGTTTCTCTGAGCTTGCACACTGATACCCCTCTTGTGCCTCGAACCCCGGCTGCACTAACGCCAATGGGAGCACCTCATTGGCATCAGTGAGCTGTGGATAAGGGTCTGGCAGAAGGACGGAGATGGTAGGGTAACCAGGTATCTGTCCAAATGGACAGAGAACAGAGCATAGCTACTTTAAGTATGTGTCTTGTTTTGTTTGCTTTACCATGTACTGTTAAAACTGCCATAGTCTGCTGGTCTCCGCACACACAGGAATAATTTCCAGCATCTGTTGTGTCTAGATTTTGGATTATAAGCTCGGCAATGACACCTTCGCGTTTCATTTTATACTTGTCACTTGATTTGAGGGTCTTGAAGCCCTTCTTCCACTCCACGTTAGCAGCAGCCTTGTTCAGCTCACAGCGCAGAGAGACACTTTTACCTTCTGTGGCTTCTTCATCTGTCAGTTCTTTGGTGAAAAGAGCAGGCAGGACTGCAGAGTAAATGCAATACGGACATCGCATCAAAGCTGAGAAATCCTGACCCACGATCTATTCACTCTTTTCTCTTATCTCCCTGAACCTGCGTGTCACTGAAGCCACAAGGCCTTCTTCACACTCCAGGATTTTGTTAGTCTCTAACATTTCAAAAGAGATTTCAGTCTGATTTTTAATTTTTTGTCCTTACACTTTAAAAGTTACTATAAAAGCAAGCCTGTCTATCTGCAAACTTCGCTGACAAGCCATCTACTTTTTACTTTATACACCATAAAATCAAAAGGGTAAAATCAGAGGCCATATTTCAATATGAGACCCAAAGCATTTTGTTTCCTTTGAGAAAAACAGCAGTTCCACAGAAGTGCCTGATTCATGGCACTGTCTGCATTTTTATAAATAGAGGCCCTTAAAACAGAGCAGTTACAAACATGCTGTCAGCTTTCTGCAGAGCTAAAGTATATGCTTTGGAAGGGTTAGGCTAAAACTGGTAAAAAAGGACTGGGAATAGCAGAGGAACAAAATGGCAATTTTTCATTAAGATAGTCGTGTAGCATCATACTTTGATGAAAACTTTTTCCTCTTAGGAGCAACAAGTATAACAGTCTAAGTTACAAAAAGTAAATATTATTCCCACTTGTAGGTCAATCCCTATGGGAAAACTTAAACAAGCAGCTATACTGGACTAGGGAGATTGTGCTGAGTTGGGGACCTGTACTCCACTTGTCATTTGAACATAGCACCTAGGAAGACAAATAGCACATTAAGAGGGCATCAGGTGAAAGGAGAGAGAGAGAAGGAAAACAGGATAGAAAAATTAACCAGCAGAGGGGAGGACAGAAAGTATACAGGGACCAGATGAAACAGGAGAAAAAGAAGAAGAGTTTAGAATTATACAGGTTTACTTGGGGCACGTGCTGAGAATTTCTTTTTACCATTTACTGTCAAAGCAGCTGTAGTCTGTTGATCTCCACACACACAGCTGTAGTCACCAGTGTCTGCCAAATCCAAATCCCGGATCATCAGCTCCGCAAAGGGACCTTCCTGCTCTATTTTGTATTTTTCACTTGGCGTGAGGACCATATTCCCCTTTCTCCACTCAACCGGGGCCGATTTGCTCAGTTTACAGTGCAAAGTGACTGCCTCCCCCTCTGTAGCTTCCTTGTTCAACATTTTTTCTTGGAAGAGGATAGGCAAGGCTGAAGGATGCAATACCAAGAGAAGAAATCAGCACTAGGACGAAATGAACTGGACTCTGCTGTGAGTTACTGGGCTGCAGTGGATACATTTAACAAAAAATGCACTACTGAGAGGTGGATACAGTTGAAAGGGGGATAAAATCTCCTAGGGTGGAGAGAAATAAATTAGCGAAAACAATATATGACATAGCTGTGCTGTCTCAAAGCAAAAAAAAAAAAAAAAAAAAAAAAAAAACAAAAGGGAAAACTCTCCAATAGGGGG